TTTTTAAGATTTTTTTAAAAAAAATTACAAACAACCAGGAAACAAATCCAAATGAATTGCATTTTTTTAATCTCAGTATAAAAAGCCCTGCCTGAGGGATTGATTTTGCCCTGTTGGGGGAGCCTCTCTCCCAAGCAACATTTCTGCTCTCAAAGAGGCCGAGTAAAAAAGTTTCTCAAAATCCAAGTAGGATTTTGGCACAGGGTATTTGCAGCATAGGATGTTTGCAGCCGCCCTCCCCCCAGAAACAAGATAACTCCCTCTCGTTTCTAGAAGCCATCTCCTAATGCCCAATGCTGCAAATGCTCTGTGCCAAAATCCTGCTTTGATTTTGAGTTCCTTGCTGCCTATAGAGGGGATGGGAACTGCAACAAGATCTGGGTTTTTCTCCAGGCCAGTGTTACTGTTCCCTTCTGAGCGCAGAGGGGGTACACCTGTCCCCCTTTGACAGGCAGTTCTTTCACTCTATCCACTTAATGATTACAAAGGGGGAGACAGGGATTGGGGTAGTTGAGCAAGATGGGCTCAAGTGTAATTTAATTTGAGGACTACCTGTAAAGTTAACAGCAATAACGGATTTTGTGCAGTGCCAAACTGAACAGATATTAATTACAACAATTTTTGGAGGGAGAAAAGAATTAACCTTTATCGTTGGGAACAGGGAAATTATATCATTTTTGAAGGAAGATACTCTTTTATGCACAGGAGGCTCAGGAGTCCAGAGCAGGTAGGCCACACCTCAAGCCTGGAAAACAACTACCTGCCTGCTGTCCCGGGCAAAAGGTACAAGCTTGCTGCTTTAGCTTACCTGCAGCAGAGATGAATGCTTGCCATTGCTACAGCATGGAATGATAAAGAACTCTGCCCCATGATGGAGATTTTTTTTAAGATTTATATTTTTAAACTATATTTTTCCCTAAAGTATAAAAAGAACAAGACAGAAGATTTTTGAGCAGCATAGCTTAATCTAACAGGAAAAAAAGAGAAATGGGCTCTAAATTTGAGAAATGTGTGGTAATAACAAAGTAAACACAGAGGGTGAAAACACTGCTTCACAACTATTTTAAAAACCTCAGTTCAGACAGATATGAACAGCAATACAAAATAAAATGTATGTTTAAAAAAACCAATAGCAAAGCTGCTATGCAAAATATATCATTAGAACTAAAGTAGGTACACTATTTAAAAAGATAAACTTAGTAGTACAAATTTTGAAAAAATGTTTAATTAAGAGAGGAACTTCATGTTACAAAGCAAAAGTAAATGTTAATAGAAATCACTAAGCAAACAAGTGTTGCTAGAAATCGCTAATGTAGCAGATGGTGATCATGGAATGTCTATGGCAGTGGTGGCGAACCTATGGCCCGGGTGCCAGAGGCGGCACTCAGAGCCCTCTCTGTGGGCACGCGCTCCATCGCCCCAGTCCTAGGCCTTCAGCTGGGTTTTATAAAACCTTTTTGTTTTAGGCCTCCGCCGCCGTGTACAAAAAAAAAGGTTCAATCAATCAGTCAATTTCAACTTCTTGCGGGAAAAATAAGATCTTGCAACGTTGGAATTGATTGAACTTTTTAGTCCCACCCAGTCTTCCGTTACCACCGCAGCCACGCCCACCCAATGGGCCACACCCACCCAATGGCCACACCCACCCAGCACCCGACGATTCATAAATGGGTTTTGGGTTGCAGTTTGGGCACTCGGTCTCTAAAAGGTTCGCCATCATTGATCTATGGAGATTCTCAGCCATCCAGGTCATGGTTGTCCCAAAAGTGCTTTTTCAAGAGGCAACTGGACTTCCATGTTTTTCTGTAAAGACGTTTCGCTTCTTATCCAAGAAGCTTCTTGAGCTCTGACTCCATTCCCCACCATCCAGTCAGAGCTGAAGAAGCTTCTTGGATGAGAAGTGAAATGTCTTCAAAGAAAAACAAGAAAGTCTAGTTGCCTCTTGAAAAAGCACATTTGGGACATGGAATTGGGATATAAAAGATTATAAGTGAAACTTGCAATTTATTCCTGAAACTATACTCCCATAGTTCAATATTTTCCTTCTTTTTTTCTCTTATTTATGCTTTGAGATTTTTTTAAAACAGAGAGAAAAATAAATTATTACCATATTTGCATTATATTTCAGGAACATGTCTACTAATAACGTATCTAAATTCATGCCCCAACACATGCCAAATTAATAAAAATGCATCTGTTTCAATGAACACTATTTGCTTAAAATTACTGAATAACTGTGCTATGTTTCATATTCAATCATCAAAAGAAGAGGAAACAATATTGTCAAGATGTCCCTATGCTACCATTGTTAGATACAATTTTAGGGTTTAGGTTTAGGAAATCATGTTTTTCCTTTGAGCTAAAGCCATATCTTTTGTGCAAAAACTAGCTTTTTCAGAAACAGCGATGAGAGTAATCAAACAATAGGACTGTATTCTAAAGTCCTTGATCAAAGGTAAGAAAGAAAGAAACTCGATGGGAAAGGAGGAGATACAACATATTTTAGAAAAGACAAAGGGGTTCCTGGGACCATCAGCTACCTCAAGATATATACATTTGCCTCTTGAGAAATTTTATCTAAGGTGTCTGTTTTTTCTCACATTTTAAAAAATGAAACACACCAATGATTTGTTGCTTATCATACATTGAAATATATGTAATCACCTGTACTTTTCAAAGGTATTGGGTATTTCTCTCTCAAACTCAGGGACTAAGTTCATTCCAGCTCTATGCCAACTCAGGTGTTTTGAGTTTTATGGGCAACACAATGGACAAGAAACAATATTAGGATTGGTAGTAATAGGTAGATTGGTTTGTACTGTACAATTAGATGAGGGTATCTAATTGTAAAGCATAACCTCAGAGCCCTTATATAGTTTCTAGCTTATAAAAGATGTTATATAAATAAATATCTTAGAATTTGGAATTTGTATTTTTTAAAAATACAGACTGGCACATAGACTGAATAAAATCTCAGGCACCGTATTTTTTCATAATTTAAACAGCTGTTATTGCTTCTATAATTATGATGTTTTGAGGCAATATGCTTACAAGAAAACTTATCTTCATTATTTTACAAATGAAAATGTGTACATACACACAGAGAGAATGTGTTATATCTAATTTACTTTGTAAACAAAAGTTCCTACCAAAGATACTAAGTAAGCCAAGCCGGTATATCGGCATAAGAATTAATACAATTCCAGATCTGAAAAATGGGGTAAACAGAAAGATCAAGAGAAGAAAGAAGTATTATTTATATGTATATCTAAATACAGTACCATGGGTATAGTTATAAGACAATATCCAGAAGACCACAGCATCCTGAAATTCTTACAATGATCAATTTTCATATACATGCATTTTTACAGTATTATATTATCATGAATACATTCCTCCAAAAGTATAACATTCTCTCTTGCAAATCAGTATGTCATTTTGATTTGATATCAGGTTTTCAAAAAAGAATACTTTTTGTTCTCTGAACACAAGCATAAAATCTTTGTATGTAATTTAAAAAAAAAAATCCTATTCAGTAATTTGAGGCAGTGAGCCAAAGAGCCAGTTTGGTGTAGTGGTTAAGGCATCAAACTAGAAACCAGGAGTTCTAGTCCTGCCTTAGGCACAATGTCAGTTGGGTGAGCTTGGACTCTGTCTTAGCCTAAGGAAACAAGCAAGGGCAAACCACATCTGAAAAACCTTGCCAAGAAAACTGCAGGGATTTGTCCATGCAGTCATCAAGAGTCAAGACTAACTCAAAGGTACAAAAATAAATAATTTGAGGCAAATCATGCCTGCATATTTATGAATGATTACTGTCATAAAATTAATCTCTTTTATTTTTTTTGCCTCCTGTAGAGACCATGCCAAAATGTATAATTGTATGGATATAACAAATAAGTGCAATAATTTTTTTCCCAAGATAGAAAAAACATTAATGTTTTTATTGTGGGAAGGAGCTCTTGAGAACACCATGGACAGCAAAGAAAAAGAAATAATTTTCACTTCAGGTACAAACAATCAGGCTCAATTGATCATATTGTGGATATTTTATGAGAAGACCCACGTCTTGGAAAGTCAATAATGGGAAAGGCATGAGAAAAGACAACAACCAGCAACAAGGTAGATGCACTTGATTATAGCAGTGGTAAGTACACCATTGGGAGATGTGTAGGGTGAGGCTAGGGACAGATCAACCTAGAGGAGGTCCATCAATGTGTTGCTAATAATCAACATCACCTTGATAACACCAAATCAATTTCTACTTTCAACATAGGAACTTAGTAATTATAGTTTAGCTGGGATCAGTTTTTTAATCTTAAGCATGTTTTATTTTGGGTTATCCAAACATTGGAATCCATTTTAAAGCCAATGAAAATAGTGCCAAGAGCCTTAATAAACACTGTTTTATGTCAAATATTGTTACAATTAACTGTCAGGAAAATTAATACCTTACAATGTACTACAGGTACTCCTCGCTTTCCAACCATTCATTCAGTGATAAAAGTTATGATGGTACTGAATGAGGATGACTTAAGACAGTCCTCAAAATTGCAGCTTCTGCAATGTCCTCATGATCACGTGATTGTGATTTGGGCATTTAGCAACTGGCTTGCATTTACATTGGCTGCAGCATTCTGCAGTGACATGATTACCCTTTGCAACCTTTCCTGCCACTTTCCCATGAACAGTCAACGGGGAAGCCAGCAGAAGGTTGCAAGTTGCTCGGGTAAGTTGTTCCCATTGCTTTTTCTACTGAGGAGGAGAGGAGCCTATGAGTGGGAAGATGAGTGCGGACCCTGATTATTGCCCACACTGCACCAAGTCCCCCAGGTCTAGCATTGCCACACTTGTACCACGGCACACCTTCTCCCACCCAGTTGTACTAATTCCAATTCAATTACTGTTGTTATATCATTTGTTTTTAGTTACAAACAGTACAATTCTTTTTAAAGCAACATTAGCAACAGTATCCTAACATAAATAAATGTAAATTTTACCATAGAAGAGACTGATCTGGCATCCTCCTCATAATTTACAACAGGTGGGGGCTCTTTCCCATCATTTTCTTGCACTTTTTGTTGAAGAAGTTCCTTCTGGGCTGCAAATTTGACTTCAGTGCATTTCAGCTGCTGAACAGTTTGCTTTAATTCTTCAAGAGCTTGCTTCTGGCTTAGCAGAAGTACAATGCTGAAAAGAACAGCATCAAAATTATACTAAAAGTAAAATGGAAGCATTTATTTCATTTCTCAAGACCGTAACGGATAATATATCTTTAGCAGATTTAAGATTTTATAAAGTGGGATTAACACTACATGGAGTTGAGTGGTTGTAATTGTCAGCTTGTTTTTCCCCCTTAAAAAAGCTTTATTTGTAGAGCCTAATCTAAGGAAAAACAGGATAGGAATCTGTTTAGGCTGCATTTAAAAATTAATGTGGACGAAGAAGTTAATAAATAACAATCTAAAGAAGAAATCCATGCAAATTTCCCAAATTCCATATTACTGAATTAAAGAAATAGAGTTTAGTATCATTACACTCAATCAAAGGAAAAAGGAAATAAATTATGCATCACAGACTCAATAAATAAACAATAAAAGAATTAAAGAAAAATAATGCTTGAAGTACTACAAGATTTTTAAAAATAGTTTTACATTAGCTTTAAAATCAGTTATTAAATAATATTTCTAGACTTACAAAGAGGGTGCAATGAAGCATGATCTTAGCTAATGAGTTACAGTGCATCATCTGGATCTCATTTTCATTCAAGAATCTTATATGAAGAACTTGGAAAGTTAATTTTATATATAATATACTGCCATGTCTGCCATTTACTCACTCAGATTTTCTTTCACAGATCTTAGAAGACTCTTCAATCTTCTTTTCTAATTCCAGAACTAGTTCCTCCTTATTTAGAAGTGTCTGCTGTGTCTGAATCAGTTCTTCTACTACAGTTTTTAACCTATGATTTAAATGAATACAAACAAATATAATTTGTGACTATTTAGTAGCACTTTCTTTGTATTTTTTTCAATGGAAACATTCTTTTTCTCATAATTATCACATTTAGTTTTTCTTTGTATTATTTACTATTATTAGGTTTATTATATTTGTAAACTGGTTAGAGTGGTTAAATTAAAGAAATCTACAAATTTCATAAATAAAATGGAAGCTAAAAAGAATTTATACTTTATGTGGAATCTTTTCAGGCTATCAAACTCCATCATCATTTATATTTTATGCTATTTTTTAAAAAAATATCAAGTACTTTCATAAAAAAGAAGTACAATAACAGGAACAATAGTATGCTAAACATATTGCAAACAAACTAGAATTTAATGGGTTTCATTTTGAGATTATTCTGCCTATAATATAGTTTCAAATAATATAAATGCAATAAAGCTCCACAAATACATTTTTACTACATATAAAAACAATCTTCTTTAGCTCATTGCATTTATTTATATGCTGTTGGGCCTTTTTTTGTTATGAACTTATTATGTTCATTTAAATGTAGAAGAATTAATTTGCTATAAGGACAATTAACAGTTTAGAAACTTGTTATATGAAAACCATAACTGTCCTACGGTAATAATATAAATTCATTAATTCTTAATGACCAGTTTAAAAAAATGCATTGCCCTTTTAATATGTTTATACCAGCCTGAGAAAATTTGAATTCTGAACTGCAGGCCAAGAATAATAACCTTTCACTAAAAAAGTATCACTTACAATGTTCCATAGAAATGAAGAGTTGGAAGATTCACTAAGTCAGTTAACTGCACTGAGACACATTAATTTTCCCCAATCTGTCCAACACTAGGACAAAACTTATCATCTATTATCTCAAGAATCTGAATAATACAGTAGCATAGAACAGTGTCAAATTAAACAGAACATATTAATTTACTAGATTTATTAACTTAGCACTTCCAATTTTCTTTGCTTTCACAATTCATCAATAAAGGGATCATAACTAAAAATTCATATAATAGAACTTTTCCAGAGAGCATTTCATTTTCTCTTTTATGCTATGCATATCTTATTTCAAAGCTACTAGGTACAGTGCAGTATCTTGTTTCTCATACAATAAAACAGAGAAAAGACAAGTCCTAATGATGATTAGAAGTCTGATAGCTTAGAACATGCTTCTTTTTATTACGAGAAATTATGATCACAGTGGCAAGACCTTTTAATAATTAAATCCTGTATTGAAAGTTGTGAGCAGAAGTTAATTTCACTTACAAACAGGAAATTATTATTTTTTCTTTTCAAGTATTTCACAGCAATGAGAAGTTCATCAACTTCCTTGTACATCTTTTGGGAGGTTATGATCAACCCTGATGATGGTACAGAAATGAGAAACCTTCTTACATAAATGAAAGCAAGTTCTGCACATGCATGGGGGAAATGTAAGGTGCTATCATGCTATAACAAAAATTATTTGTCTACAGACACACTCCTTACATGCAAAGATATATTTTCGGACATATAATTATTAGTCCTATGGGAAGGAGAAAAAAATAATGAACATGTTTACTTTGTTTCATAATATTCATATACTTTCCTAATGCACAGACCCCAGATGGTCTATCATTCAAAATTTAACCCAAATTTAACCCAAATCCTATCACCCTCATCTACATTAAAACAATCATAGTTCCAAACTAGATAATTGTGTATCATTCCTCATTCTGGACCTCATTCAAGGCTTGTTGAACAAAAACAATCTTTAGTGATTTTCAAAGTATCACAAGAAAAAAGACAAAAGTTCATCTTTGGGCTGACTGCCACAGAAATTTCTGGTTCACATTCCCTTTCTTGTGGCAGTTGAAAATTTCCGGTATGCTTTCTAGACAAAATCATGTTTAATTAAGGCTGACTCTTATGTGTCCCAACAATGTGCCAGGTCTTTACAGTTAATAGTACTTTGAATTTTGAACTGGCCACCAAAACTTACTGGTAACAGGTCCAAAACAGGTACATGAAAATCTCCAGTAGTGTCTCTAGTCATTTGCTACATTTGAGCCAGCTGCAGGTTCTGAGTCATTACTAAAGGCAACCTGTATGGTTTGCACTGCAACAGTTACAATTACCAAGTATTTGGGCTCTAAATTGGTGCTATAACAAAAATGGATAAAAGTCTCCTTCCAACAATCCCAGTGATTATGCTGAACATGGCTGTTGATTCCATTGACAAAACACATAGGACAGATGTTTTACTGTTTTTATTATCACTGTGTAGACCAGGGGTAGGCAACCTTGGCTCTTTTATGACTCGTGGACTTCAATTCCCAGAATTCCTGAGCCAGCATGGCTCAGGAATTCTGGGAGTTGAAGTCCACGAGTCATAAAAGAGCCAAGGTTGCCTACCCCTGGTGTAGACCCAAATGGGTCTCATTTTTTATTTTATATCATCATTGATTCCAACATTTTTTCACTTCCTTTCAGTCCTGAAGCTCCTCCAATAACTGGAGAACAGAAGGAATTGGCAACTGAGATTGGGTGATTAGAACAATCTCATCTAGCACGTGGACCACCTCAACATAATGGAAATTAACAAGGCATAATGATAAACTCTTAAGTTACATTTAGACTTCTACTGTTCATATTCAAAATCAGAAATAACCATCTCCACTTTTTCTTCTCTCCATAATCTATTACCTATTATAAATAAATCATCCAGAGCCTACCTGTTTATTAAGTAAAGCAAGGGCTCCTCTTCAATTTTCTCACTCAAAGGGGATCCTTGCAGCATATCAGCCAAGGAGTCTAATATTATAGCCCATCGCCAATCCACAAGCTATGTTTTCAAATAAAGCCCTCAACTGTTTATTTCATTATTTCTCTCTCTTTCCTCCAGCTATCACCAAACAAGTATTTAGGAACCTGTTGCCATAACAGCTTCCAGTCTTCTACTCTTCTGGTTTCTGCTCCAAACCTTGCAAACAATTCTCTACTCTTTGTCCTGGTCTCTACCATTCTCACTGATCTTTGCCAGGATATTGTTCCAGCCACAAATGTTACAGTATTTTTCTGGATGGGCCACCTCCTTGCCTCTCCTGTGACTTCCTGATCAACAATGGCAGTTATCACTCTGTTCTCTCTTTCTTCTGCAGCTGTCTCTGCAAAACATAAACCAGCAGCAACTTTGCTTACTCTTCATAGCCTCTGCCACTATCCAGAGTCAACTCCAGTCGGCTTGCCTCCCCAACTGGGCATAGGTCCAATATCTTATTTTCACTACTCTTAACTTTTCCCTTCCCAACATCCCATATCCCATTCAACATCTTCTAATTTAACATTCCTTCCAACATATCATTTAACATCCAACAGCTTCTCACTCAAGTTAATTTTTACATATGGTACAGCTGGTTTATTGTCAAAACAAAACAGACAATCTGGACCTTCCTGTAAAACAAGAGTGCTATCCAGGACATTACATAATTCAAACAGGAGAGATAAAAATATGAAGGTTGATTTCACAATATATAAGACACTATTTTGATACAAAGTGGTCCAGTTTTAGATGCATTTTTGTTACATCATTTCTATGGGCACATGTTCTTCTTGATGTGTGGAAATTGCTGTGTCACGGAGTTCTCATCCCAGATGCTGTAAAACCTTGATTTAATAGAATCCCATTTAGTAGACTTCAAGTGCAATCAATCAAATTTCATCCAGATCTTTCCTCTAAATAACAGATGTCCACTGTGTCTGAAATAAATTGATGCAAATGACACAATTTGTGACATTTGCATAATGACATCATTATGAAATGCCCTACGTAGTCCTAATGATGAACTTTAATATTAAATGGACATTGAAGAGTAACAGAATTCCCTCTTCCTAAGTGGGAATTTCATTGTCATTATTCTCCAATTTTCTCTAAAGTAGCCATCATCCAGCCACAATCTTACACAACTCTTTTATATAATTCTTTGCAAAAGTATAGAGACCCACATTTCTGAAAACTTAAATTAAGAAAGTAAAATAATTTTGGACAGCACAACCAATTTGATTTATATTGCATTTTGTATACAACCTGGTCATTAAAAAATGGGAGACAGAGACAGAGAATGGCTATAACTTTCTTATGAAATATTTTTTATTACATAGATTGTTCCTGATTCAGCATAGTTTTTATATCCTACACAGATAAAATTGAGAAGGAAAAAAGAGGCTAAATTACTTACATAGTTTGTAAAGCTTCAGCTGTCAAATTATTCCACATAATCTCATTGGCTTGAAGATTTTCATTTTCTTCTAATAATGATGTATCAAATTCTATTTCTTGTTGTTCAATATCTGATGTCCTTTAGTTTAAAAAAAGCAATAATAATACACGAGTAAGGCACTTCTTTTTTAAAACCACTTAGCTGCCATTTTTAAGAATCTACTCAAAAAATGATGAGTTCCTAGGACTACCCTTTCTCAGGAGAAAGAAAAGAAAAAGGGGAAAAAAGAAATTATTCAAAATTGTGGTTGTAGTGAGTAACAAACTTCCATCACTGATCGCTATATTAGGAAGGTTAATTATAAGTTAAGATGCATTGGCCCTGGCAATTATAATAATTTAAGATTAGTTGAATAACCCATATTGCTTTACAGTTACACAATACTTTCTGGCATAACTATGCCATACCATGTAAATGTTCAAAATCTACTCCCATTTTATTTCTCTCCCCCTCTCCCATCAGTTTTGTGTTATATGTTGTAATGGTTTCTCATTCATTCATTCATTCATTCTCTGCTGGAGAGAATGTCACGGTTTGTCACGTGGCCGCCATGGACGGCTGGGAGATTTGCTCTCTCTCCCCCGTTCAGTTTCGCATCGCTGGGGGCCCTGAAAAGGGCAGAAAGTCACCCCAAAGCGACCAGCAAGGAGCGGCTTTTGCTGGATCGCAGGAGAGCAACAACTCTCCTGTTAGAACTGGCGATCCCTCCAAACCGGCGGACGAAAGGACCGGCCATAGAAATATGGCTCATCCCTCTGGATACACAAACTCAAACTATGACTTCAACCAAAGAATCATCTATACAGAATTCTATAGAGAAAGTGAAACAACCAAATGCTATGGCAGAAGACTTAGATACTCAACAAATACAGACAATGGAAAACACAAAAAAGAAACTGATAATAGAGAACAAGGAAAGGATTTTTCTTATAAACCAGAAGGAATTTGAAGATAAAAAAGAAAAACAGATGAAAGAGAAGATAAATACTTCGGGACAACTGCATCGAATTGGAAAAACAAAGAGACATCCTGCTAAATCAGCTAGTCCTCTTAAGAAAACATCAACTGGACGCTTTTATCAACATCAAACAATAGCTACAACAATACAAGGAGATCTTTTTGATGATTTAAAAGCAAAGATACGAAAGATGACTTGGCAAAGAAAAAAAGCTAGAGTAAGACTGAAAAGGATTGGGGTTTTGATTAACACATGAGATCTAAAATAGAATATATTCAAATGGATAGAATATGTATTCTGAACACAAAATATTGTAACGATCTGAGATAAAGAAAATGTTGGTTATATAAAATCTAGAAATATAAATATTGAAATAAGAATATTATATTGTTTTATTAGTTTGTTAAGATAGATGGTAGAATTTATATACAAGGTGTGTATTTTAAATATTAGATTGTATGAGGAATTGTGATAAAGGAATTGTGCTTAATTAAAAATTTGGAAAAGAAATATTAAATGTTAAATTAAAATATTAAGGGAAAATTAACTATCAGGTCACTGATTGGCTAAGAGTTTGAATGTTTAAAAATAACTAAGATTTGAATTTAAGATATTGTTATGAGTTGAGACAAAGGTTAAGTAAAACTTAGAAGTATAAATACTAATAATTAAATTTGTATATTGGTTTGTGGTACAAATGCTGATGGGTTTTTTTTCTTTTTCTTTTTGGAAAGAAAGAAAGAAAGAAAGTAGAAGAAAAGAAAAAAATTATTAACCCCAAATATGAGATAGGAGACTTAGAAATTGGGGTCATTTAAAATTTGGAAATGATAAGGATTAGACATTAAATTTAAATATCAATGGGAAATTAAAGTTAAGAAAAACTTACTAGGTTATTGTCTAAAAGATGGAATGTCAAATCAATTAAGATATGTATAGACTGAAGATTATTGATGAATACTAGAAATGTATTTTTGTTTGATTGATAGAATAAGAACTGTATTGGTCCGAATATGAGACAGTAGATATTATGGGGAAAAGAGAGGGAATTAGTTGTTGTAATACTTTGAGATTTGTACTCATGATATTCAAATGTAATGGAATTACTGTGCTCAGGCGCCACGCTACTTTTCAAATATGTAAATGTAATATTGGAAAATTAATAAAAAACTTGGGCGGGGGGAAGAGATTTATCTAAAAGCATGAAAGTTCTGGATATAAAATCAAAAGCAGATTCCTCCACTTCAGTCTGCTAGAGTAAATCACATTTAGATTTTTCAAATGAAAATAAGTCAACTACTGCAAAATAAACTCTTTTTACTGCTTCAGTATATTAGAATTCTGTTACAGTAGCAAACTATCTGAAGAAATACTAGAAAAATGTTATTAATGGAGGAATTATTTTGCAGATTACAATAGGAATACTGCACAGATTTAATTATCTACAAATTACTACATCTGATGTAAATATGTGCATTGAAGAATTTATATGAAAGAGCTACTTGTAACAGTTGAGCAATTTAAATCACACAGATCACTTTTGTTATTACATGGACTTATTTCTATAAGCACAGTTACTATGTACTGCATTGTAAAAAATATACTTATATCCATGTAAACCACCTTGAGTCCCATGTGCGAGTAGGCGGCAATATAAAATTTCTAAATAAATAAAAATAAATAAATAAAATACTTATAGTGCAGTAAAACACCACCACCAATATTTTACCTGTGAGTTTCCATGAAACTACTGTACTCTGAACCAGGGTCTAATTCTTCAACAGATATCTGGATATCTTTATGAACATTCACCAGTTCTTCTGTCACAAGACTGGTGATCTGACTGTATTCTTCTAAAATTCCTTTCCTGCAAAAAAAATTTCATGAAAACATATTCAAAATGTATTTTAAATAACGTATAAAGTATAAATGTATAAACATTGAACCAAGATGATTTAAAGCAATGCAATTTAGTTCCCAGTTTTGTGCAGGAAAATTAATGTATATATAATAGATAGTTATCCAACTATTTTTAAACTTAATTTATTTAATATATTACAGTACCAATATGTTTTTATTAATAGCTTTTTTTAACATTCAGTAGAAATTACCTTACTATAATTCACATTTATTAGTTCATGTCCTGCCTTTTGGGATGATAGAGACCGGTCTTGGCTGCCATCTATGTAACATCCTTTCAGATATTCAGAGTACTCTTATCTATTCTTCAACTGAATATTTTCAACTTCTTTTCATAGGGTTTAATTTTCTTTTCTGTGATCAACTTTGATGGCCCTCTCTCTACTTATTCAAGGTTGCCTGGGTTTTATTTCAAATGAGGTACCCCAAACGTCTGCATGCCTATGTTAGAGAACCCTTCAAATGATCAGGATACTTGGTACCAGTAGTACATGCAGTTCATTCTTCATGAAACTTCTACTTCATCTATTCAGATTTGAGTGTTGAGCTTATCTGCCCATTAATGCCTACCAGCCTGTGACATTATGGTGCTTGATCACATGTAAGCCCAAATGAATTGATAGGCTTTATTCTCAGGCAAGTGTTTATCTTGGTTTAGAACAGTGGTTCTCAACCTTTTTAATGCCGCAACCCCAACCGGTCGTAAGTCGAGGACTAAACCGGTCGTAAGTCGAGGACTAAACTGGTCGTAAGTCAAGGACTAAACCGGTCGTAAGTCGAGGACTACCCAACCGGTCGTAAGTCAAGGACTTTCCCTGCCCGGGAGCGCCGCGCATGCATGGTTCCGCCCCCTGCGCCGGCTGAGGCGTAGCTGGCAAGCGGCAGAGATGGAGCAGGCCGACCACCAGCTGGCCCAGCCCAAGGGAGGTAAGGCACCCGCCAGAAAAGGGGAAAAAAATGGCGGACAAAAAAAATGGTGGACAGCCTTGCTTGGCGACCCCCATGAAATGGTCGATCGACCCCAAATGGGGTCCCGACCCACAGGTTGAGAACCACTGGTTTAGAACCTTAGGAAGAAAAATACAAGAGATCTGCGCAATATTTTTATTGTACTTATTTTGATCAGGGCAAGACTGAAAGTTAACCATTTGTCTTATAGACTAAGCTCTGCTCTTTTGCTCAGGATCTTTCAAATGCAGTACTTCTGCTAAGGAATATACTACCTACATTTGGACATTGTCTTTAATGCATGGCAAGGCACCAATGCGTATCTGATTCTCAATTAAAAGAATATTACTATAATTTTAAATGAAAAGCTCACATCTACAAAACAAGAGTGCCAACTCCACATTATTTTTACTTCCAAGATTATCAATGGGCCTTAAAAAAATAAAACCAGTAGATAATTGATCACTGCTTTGATGGAAATTATGTCCATCTTTTAAGAAAAAGATAAAGATGCACTGGAAAATGAGTTAGTTGTATCCCAGAGAAATAATGATTGGGGGGGGGGGGAATCAACACTTTCTTCCTAGAAAATAGGACTGATTGATTTGATATTTGTCCCAATTTTTCTACACCAGATGAGGGCAATAGATTATAATCTATTTTTAAAAGTCTTTTTGCTATTTTAAGGGAAACATAACTTGCCATGTCCACTTATTCTAAATAAGTCACAAATATTAATGAACCTTTTAGATACTCGGGCAAGGAAACAGTTACTTCATAGTATTTTAGTCAGTGTAATCTGCCTGTTTTTAATTTTCTTCATCACATTACTAATGTGAAAAACAGTTCAAGTGTACAGCTAAAACTGCTCTATTTTTCTTCTCTTGTTTTCAGACCACAGATGATGTACTGAACAGTATCTGCCTTATTTTTCCTCATCTGACTGTTGTTTTGTTACATTGAAGGAGAAACTAGATGAATGAATAACTCTTTATCTCATATAAACTAGTAATAATCTACTTGGTGTAATCTATTCTAATTAAGAGACTTACTTCAGTTTGAGCACAATGACTTTGAAAAAATGTGAAAAAATACAATTATACTCAATATATTGTATATTATTATCTTCATGCAGTATAACATTTTTCAAGACATTTTAAAAGAGATAATAAATCCAACATAAATATGGTCACTAACATAAAAAGCAGCCAGTGCCCTAAAAATAATATCTCTTTATGGTTTCTGAAGAATCTAATATTTTAAAATCTTTCATAATATATAGTAGAAATTTTCATAATATATAATGGAAAATATGGGGCAAGGATAGAGTAACTATCCTTTTATTTCACATAAACAAGTCCAACAAATACAACCTCTGCTGTTACATAGTAATCATTAGACTATTCAAAGCACTAAATAGGTAAGGATACTAATGTTATGCTTTTTTATTGAGAAAATAAAAACTTCAGTCACAAAAGAATATGTCTCCTGCTTTGAGAATTGCAATTATGGTTTCCATTAAAAAATATTTTTGAAGCATAGCTGTGATGATGTCAAAATACTTATTAGCATGTTATTCTTTGTTTGAATAGGGAACAATCTGATTTCAGATACTGACAGAAATAATTATACTGAAAAGTCCATCATATAATATGAATAGCCAACAAGGGTTAAGAAGGCAATTATCATTACTTTAAAAAGACTCCAAATAATCTATTTGTAAGTTTATTTAATATACTACTGATTGTATCAAAGTCTATCTGGTAAATAAATAAAGTAAAAGAAATTACAATGAAGACAAAATTTTGATTAACACAAAATAAAATTAATATAATTAAATTTAACAGTTAAAATTAGCAGTTTGTACAGTACGCTGTGTTTTAAAGCTCTTTTTAAAAAAAACTAATAAAGATGTCAGGCCACTCAATTTGGCAAGTTCCAAAGAACTGGGGCAGAAACAGAGAACATTCAGTCCAGAGTTGCTACCCAATGGGCTTACAGCAACTATCAACAAAATATCCTCAGATGATATCAGTAATTGTGAACATTATTCGGAATGAGAGATTCTTTCCAATACAGTAAACAGGACCGAAGCCATGAAGTACATTAATAATCCTCCCTTTTGTATTCTGCTTGCAAATAGATTGGCAGCCACTGCCAATTACAGCTATAATTTGGAATATTCTTCCACAGTGCAACCTATCTAGTGTATTTTATATAAAACAAAATTTCCAATCAAATGACAAAGACCTCTATGTACAATATATAAATATGGTCAAACCTGTTGGTTACCAGCAAGTGTAGCAAAGCTTTATGGTTATTATTTTCCAGAAATAGACATATTTGATAATCAACCAAAGCTGGTAAAAGGCAGCTCTGAATATTTATTCAACTTGGCTAACTAGAGAAATTGTAGAGCTAGAAAAAAAAACCCCTATGTTCTTGCTACTTCTTGGATTGTGTAATCCCATTCAGGATTGGCAACCCTACACTGCTCTAAAATTATGGCCCTTCACAAAAAGCACCTCATATTGTATGATCAGTTTCAATTTGCTATTTCTTGTCCAGCCCACTACTGACTACAGGCAGAAATTTAGTACACTGTTCTCTATAGGCATCACATAGAAATATATTATTTTATATTTCAATTTATATATCAGTTATATTTATAATTGATACCAACTGGCATGCATTGCTAGATTTCATCCATATAGACAGTACCCAATGACCTTAAGCTAGAAGTCTCCAACACTATCAACAAAGCAATCTTGTCAGCTCAATAAGAGATTGTGTTAAATAGCAATTTAAGTAGAATCCTAATAGAACCTTCAATCTACACAAAAGAGTTCTCTCACAGATAGCCTGGTGAAGGAGATGCTATTCTTCCAGATCATAGCCACATCACCTCCATTTTGCTTCTCCTGGCTTCTCTGCTAAAAAGCACCCAGCCATAAGGAATTAGGTCCATCCTGGTTTATGTGGCTCTCACTGCCAGATCTCTGTTAAGTCAGATATCTCATCCATGAATCAAATTATGCATTATCTCACAATCACTCTTATTTTGGACCAATCTGGCACAACAGACAAAAAATACCAGGAAACCAAGGCTTGAGAGCTTACAAGATTGCCAGGATAAAAAACAGCCAATATGTTTTTCTTTTCCCTTCCACTGTAACAATTGTCAGCCTGCTGACATCTAATATTTTATTCTTCACTCCACCTATAACTATTGCCCAAGACCCATAGATGGTGTGCCCACATGTACTTTAACAAATGAATTAAATAGTTTAGCTAGCTAGACAGATAAAATTGTCACAAAAAATAAATAGCAGCTAGGCAACAGAAAAAGCAAAAACAAAATTGTAAATCAATAGCCTAGAACAGTGATGGCAAACCTATGGCACGGGTGCCAGAGGCGGCACTCGGAGCCCTCTCTGTGGGCACACGTGCCATTGCCCCAGCCTCACCTCCCCCGTGACCCTCCTCTCCAGCAGCCCCCTGAAGGAGAGTCGCCCCTGAGCATGGCCCATGCGGAGCAGCGCAGTCAAGGACATGGCAGCCAGGCAGCGTAGACAAGATTCTGCCCTCACGCCCCATCGTGCACAGTTGATGTTTCAGGGCGCAGGCAGAGGGCGTGACTGCTATAGCGCTGCTGGGCTGCCTGGGCGATCTGCGGCGGGCCCTGCGGGCAGGCGGCACAGGAGATGGGGGGATGGAGTGGGGGCGGGGCAGGGGGTGGAGCGGGGGCGGGGCCAGTTTTTGGACACTCAGTCTCTAAAAGGTTTGCCATCACTGGCCTAGAAGAATGAAACGACTCTTACTGCTTAAGAAAAATAGAGCGTCAACTATGAGGACCATTCTACAATAGGACACTCATATAATGGTTTAGCTGTTCAGTACTGGAAAACTTTCTAATTCTAGCTGCAATTTACAATTTTCCTGTAAAAGATGAAATATTAAAATTCTGTTACATTGATTCATAAGTGAGGTTTGTACCTGACATACACAATTTCAAACATCACAAAACCCTGTTTTTGACTTGTACTGGTGTAAAAAATGTATACCAGTTAGAAATATCACATGTAGAAGCTTAGGACATTGCTATTCATTTCTAAAAACTTAACATGAAAACTTAGGTGGACTACACATGCTTTTATGAGACAAAACACTACATCTTACAGTCCTTTAATCATTTCTTCTTGCATCTTCTGTAAAGAGTCAAGGAACAAAGGAAGTGTAGCATCATAATACTGGTGCTGATGTAACTGTGCTCCTTTCAATGCCAACACGTATTGATTGTGCAACATGTGGAGTTTCATTGTGGCTTTATCATAGCGATCTTTGGCTTTTTCAGTTTCCTTTCCTGAAAGAAAGGAAAAGGGGGGAGAAAGGAGGAAAATGAATAATTTTCCAGACTGAATGCCCAAAAGTGTTGAGGTGAGGGAATAAATCTTAATCATCTTAACTCTTAAAAAGTAAAATGCAGTGCCTTTGTTTTGCTTTGTTTTTGTCAAATCATTTGCACTCTGTACCAAAGCACACCTAAATTTTGTCATTATGATTATATTAGAATATGAAGTAAGCAAAAAATGTAAGAGAAACAAAAATAATTTTGACTTGCATTGCAAATCTTTTCAAATCCACATACGGGCATAATATAATTATTCTAAACATATAAACAATACTCTTACTTGTGCAATGACTAAATCTAACCAGGCTTCAGACTAAACAAGACCACAATAATCAAACTATTTTGCAGGCTTTATGCCATTTTAAAACAGCTTTAAGCCTATTTTCCAAAAGAGAGATAAGTACATAATTATATCTTCTTTCTTCTCTGTAGTTCAATAACATAGACACAAGTGAATCATTATATATAACCCCACTTTGCAAATGCAAAGACAGTATAAAGATCAGGAAAAGGAAACATGAGCAATTTCTTTTAATTCTATATCTTGTAATGTTACAAACAAAGCCAATTTAGTCTAGTCGTGCGAGCCTAAAAACCAGGGGATAGTTCTAGTCCCATATGACGCATCAAAAACCAGTTGGGTGACTTTAGACCAGTCAGTCTTTCTCTCTCTCCCAACCCAAGCCACCTCCCAAGATTTTTGCTGTGAGGAAAATAGGAGAAGGAAGAGCATTAGTTATGTTTGCTGCCTTGACTTATTTATAAACAATAAAAAGGGGATAAAAATCAAATAATTTCACATATTCTTGGGGACTCTCACCTCATCCACTGTTGTAAATCTATTCCACGCTACTTTGATTCTGTATAAAGTTCTTACAATGTAAATTATTAAACATTCAATTACAAGTCAGTAAGTACACAATGGGGAATACACATTGAAAGGAATGCCTTAACACCAGCTACATGCTTAACTTGTTCCCAGCCACATAGGAGGCAAATCTTTAGGGTGAAATTGATTAGGATTGTGCCAATTTCAGACAGGAGCATAATTAATTAAAGTGGCAGAGCTGAGCTTGTTAACCTGTGGTTAACACTCTTTAGGGAACCATTGTAAAAAGCGATTTAGGAAGGGATAGTTTGTTTAAGCAATCTTTCCCCTCTGCAAATTCTGTAAAAAAAAATACAAGTTGAGCAGTCAGGCACACATAGCATTATGCCTAGGAATTGCTTGTTTTGTTCTGACTGTTGAAAAAATTACATATCAGTGAAAGGATCAATTTGGCCGAAATATTGTATACAGTCCAAAGCAGAGATAAATATACTTTGAATAACAGAGTACTAACTTTGAAGAATTGAGTGCTACAAGAAGAAGCAGAATATTACTGCAAATTGGGGAGGATCACAATGTTCCTTCTTGCTCTTGGTTTTTCATAGATGTAGGAGTTTTTTTGCTATACTATAAAGTATGTTAAGTGTAATGTAGCACTGCAGAACTGCCATTGTAAGTTGGGACAGTTCCGTAATGTTCCACTTCATGACCTTGTCACTTAGTGACATTCTGGTCTCAGTTATGTCAGTAAGCGAAAACTACTTGTACAACTAAATCAAATTCCCTTACTTGGACAACCTCTTGTAGAATGCTTGAGAACTGCTACAGAATTCCCTCTTGTAGCTCCTTAAAAAGAATTTGTACAAGCACTTGTACATATTTTGATTAAAAAATTATTAGTACAGCCTCATAGCCTGTTGTGGGTACAAAATTTCTGAATGAGACTTATATGATGAAACGGTAGATTGCTTACATTCTACTATAGGAAATCAAAGGTTAATTAGTTACTTTCTTACAAGGAAGGCAAGATAAAGCTAGGAGAACTTGTAGAGAGGGAATAAAAGAGGAGAGGCAACTGAGAAGTGGACTGAGAGGTAAAAAAGAAAGGAAAAAAGACATAACTAGTATTTTTGAAATAAAATAGAGAATGCTAATTCTTGTGAGAAAATAAACTATAATTCTCTAAATAAGCATTGAGTTTTGTTCATATTAAGTCTTTAAAAATTTCTATTGTACTCTGTTGCTCATAAGGTATTACTGCAAAATTTTAATTGTTCATAATCAATAGGCTCTCTGAGTAAATTTATTTCTGTATTAATTACATTTATATGGCCACCCATCTCACAGGAATCAAATGAGAAGTAGACTGTAAAACCCACTGATATACAATGCTACCAGGAAAAGAATTAATAAGAGAACAATTTTAGAACTCTTTAAGTTTATTATTTAGGTGTAAGGAAAACAAGATTTTAAAGTATATGACTTTGGCACATATAATTTTAAGCTATAATGCATGAAACTATATCATTTATAAAACCCAGTTTATCATTCAGCACTATGTGTCAATCCAGTTACTCACTTATTCAACAATGGTTGTAATAGTTACATGTCAGGATGTATACTCAGCCTTTTGCAAAGGAACTCAAGTTGGCATATATAGTCTTTCGTTCTCCTGTTCACTTAACTAACCAGTACTGTGTCCACCAATTATATTGCTTCTGTAAATTTTATCATGTTCAAAGGTCTTAGGGTTTAAACCAAATCTAAATAATACTTTGATTCCCATTATATACCTACCTTTAGATAGTGCTTCCTTGTATTTTTCTTTGGCAGAGTTTACTTCCTTAATTAATTGTCTATAACTAGATTTTAATTTTTCCAATTCAGTTTTTGTAACCTACCAAAAAGATAAATAGAAAAGAAATTGGCTTATCAATGCATATTATGAGAGATTAGATATTATCTGCATAACCAAGCTGAAGCATGGAAAAATCAGTAAGGGAACATTTCATTTCCTTATGTGGGGCCCTATTAAGCAAAAGCATTCTGAGACAACGCTTGAGTAATTCCGTGGATCATATTCTTGAGACCAATGCCCACAACAATGATTTTGTTAGGAAATAACACTCTGCAGCAGGGGCCCATCTTTATATTCTTACTGTAAAAGAAGCTGGGTTGGGGTTAAAATTCTCTCAAAATAAATTCTCTCATTTTGAACAATGTAAGTGATGAAAACATAATTTGACTTTTTTTTTCTTCCTATAAAGCTTAAGAATGCTGCAATTTGCAATGACAACTTACTATAAGTAATTTATTAATGTTGCTCGGAAGTAATACTCCATTCCCATTTTAATTTAGCAAAGGAAGCGTTATTTGTATACAGATTTTCCACACACGTTTATATATTTGTTTACAACTAAAATGTAGAAGTTAACAAGAATAGGCAGTCAAAGACAAAAATGCAAACATATTTTCAATGAATGAAATGTGCATAATCATTTAAAATATACTTTTAAAATATACCTTGAACATCTCTGCCTCAATTTGCTGGTGAACACCTACATAACTCTTCTTTATCTGCTGTTTGTCTTTAATCATCACAGTAAGTCTATGTAATGGCCCAGCATTCAAGTCTTCTGCATGTGTCTTCATGATCTTGCTAAGCTGCTCTGTTTGTTGCACAATGAGCAACCATGACTTAAAAAGAGATGAGAAGTGATTTACTATTAGCTTAGAAACCAAAGATATGAATGTCAACTTTCCAAAGATAAGACATGTTTAAGTATTTATTGGAAGAGATCACTGTACAGTTGGATTACTAACATACCTGATTATACTTATGGACTCAAGTACAAACAGCAACTCAAATATAGGGCCATAAAGACAACATATTTTAATGTACATAAACACTATTCTATATAAACAACGAAAAAAGAGCAATTCTCAAAATTACTGCTGATTACATTTATACAGCAAGTAAGAGACATCTGAGAAGAAATAGTTAATTCCAATTTTAAAAATACATGTTACATAATATTGGTATAATATCTATTTAGAGTAGAATTCTCTAAATCCTCTAAGTTTTATTTTCTTAAAAGTAATTTTGGCTCATAAAATAAATCACATATGAAAAGCAGCGATCAGAATAATAAGTAAAATCTGAGACTTCCGGTGGCAGGCGCCTTCGCTGGACGCAGCTGTTTGCTGCTCCCGCCTGTTTCTGCGTAAAAGCCGTTTTGACAGCCTGCATCAGCTGTCAAACGGCTTGATACCTTTTCCCTGGGCATAGGGGGAAAGGTGAGCTGCCCGAGGTAGGAGTTGAGTTCCCGAGTCGTCCCTTGTGGACGATGTAGGTGAGAACTCCTCCGGAGCCCCGGGATTCTCCGCGATCCAGGACGTCTTCGCTATATGCGAAGCTAGAAGCTGCCGTCACCGCTGCAACTTAAAGATAACTGTGAGTTTGCCGTATAAGCAGACGAACCGACCCTGGAAGTCTGTTTTCTAATTTATGGACTATACTCTAACTTGGACAATATATTCTTCTCGTATCTGAGTTGGATTGAGGAAAAGTGAACTTAAAATGGCGATGATTTGATACTTTTCAGCAAGAAGTGAAAGTGATTTCCNAAAGGGTGGAGCAGAATGAGCAAAAAGCAGAAGGAAGTGATCATAGACTTGAGCTTGTAGAGGAGGGTCTGGAAAATGTTAGGAGTGATGTGCTGATCGCCCAATTTCGTGACATGGAGTTTGCAATTCGGATTCGTGGATTAGCTGAGGACCCAAAGGAGAATTTAAGACAAGTAATTGCAGATGCACTTGGGGATGCTTTATCGTGTGGTCAGGAAATTTATCTTGAAATAGAGTGTGTGTTTAGGGTAAACTCCTGGATTGCAAAACAAAAGAATTTACCTAGAGATATTGTGATATATTTTACAAGAAAGTCCAGACGTAATGAAATAATGCAGCTCTTTTACCAACAGAGATTTAAAATTTTGAATCAAGACATTATTCTTTTGAAAGAAATTCCAGCAAAAATACTTAGAGCGCGCAGAGATTATGCTTTTTTGACACAGGAGCTGAAGCTTAGACAAATAAATTTTAGATGGGATGTACCGGTGGGCATAATTGTAACAATATCTGGCAAACGCTACAGGCTTAATTCGATTAGCAAGGCTAAAGATTTTATGGCGTCTGTTTTACAATCAGAACGCCCACCTACACCTCAGAGGGCTGATGTGGTTGAGCAGATGATTGTGGATTTTTCTTCTGCCTCTGTTCAAGATCTAGAGGAAAGCCCAAAAGCTAATGGAAAGGAACAAAGAATCACGCGCGCAGCCCATAGACGCAAGGAAAAGGAAAGACAGATGACAGCTTGACCACCAGCTGATACCCCTCCAGCTGATTGTCAAATACCGGCTATTTCACAGCCAGTAGGCGGTGCTCGTCCTAAAGTCTTTGTGAAATTATATGCGGCTAGTCTTGTCAGTGGAATAAAATCTCCTAATGTGTAAGTTAATATCATGGAATGTAGGGGGGCTTAATGTTCCCCACAAAAGACGCAAGATTTTTCATTATTTAAGACATTTTAATAATGACATTATATGTTTACAAGAGACTCATATTGTGGCTAAAGATCAAAAATTATTATTGAACTCCAAGCTTGGAGATTTGTTTGCTGCATCTGCCTTAAAAAAGAGAGCTGGGGTTGCAATGTATATTAAAAGGCATCTTTCACCTGTTTTAAAAGAAGCTGACAAAGAAGGAAGATATTTATTTGTGGAAATAAATTTAAATGGAAGAAAGTGTCTAATAATAGGGGTTTATGCACCCAATCAACTTGCAGTTCAAAAGCAATTTTATAGACATTTACATCAGAAAATTGTGGCGATGGACTATAACTCTTTGATTCTTATGGGAGACTGGAATGGGGTTTTGGATACGTTAAAAGATAAAAAAACAACTTCTAAGGATGTAACCCTTTCCAGATTACCTAAGTCCTTCTTTGCTATGAAAGATGACTTAGAATTAATGGATGCTTGGAGATCACAACACATCAATGAACGTGATTTTACTTTTTTTTCTCACAGACATGACTCTTTTTCAAGGATTGACTTTGTTCTGATATCGACTGATTTACTTACAGACTGTAACAAAACTAAAATTTTCCCTAGAATCTTGTCTGATCATAGTATGGTCTGGATGGAGATTGGTCAAAAAATAAAGAGGAAATCTTGGAGAATAAATGAAAATTTGTTTAACTATGAGGATAAGGTTAAGGCTTTGAAGGAATCTATGGAAGAGTTCTTCCAACTTAATATGCACAAGGAAACTTCTATAAATATTGTATGGGATGCTGGCAAGGCTTACCTAAGAGGAATACTAATTGCTATGAACAACGCCTATAAACGTAAGCAAGCGCAGACCAGATTTAACTTGGAAAATGAAATTGGGAGGAAGGAAAAATTATTATTACAACAACCAACAGATATCAACCTAAAAAATTCTATTAAGATGCTTAAAGATCAATTTAACTTATTAATTGCTGATCAGGTGGCCACCAATTTGAAGTATATTAAACATAATACATTTGCTAACGCAAACAAACCGGGGAGGTGGTTGGCCTACCAAATACGTAAGAGACAAAAAGCGAGACTCATATCTAAAGTTTTGGTCAAAGACCGTGAAATTCATCAACAAGAAATGATCAAAAAGGCATTCACTGAATTTTATTCGCATTTGTACTCCTCAGAGACTATAAATAGTAAAGATATTGATAAATATTTACAATCTTCACCTATATATAAACTTACATTGGAACAGCAGAAAATTATGGATGATGAGATTACAACAGATGAAATTTTAAATGCAATTAAACAACTGAAAGTTGGTAAAGCTCCTGGGACGGATGGTTTAACAGCAATTTATTATANAATTATAAATGGAGACTTGACAGAGCCTATAGATATACAAAAAGGTACTAGACAAGGTTGTCCACTCTCTCCTTTATTATTTGTATTGTCATTAGAAATTCTACTATCCAGAATTAGAGATTCTACAATGATTAAAGGTTTAAGAATTTCTTCTAAAGAATATAAACTTAAAGCTTTTGCGGATGATCTGGTTTTTACACTGTCTCAACCAATCGAGTCACTGGAAACTTTGTTGCAAGTGCTGCATCAATATGGCAAGGTGGCTGGATTTAGAACTAATGTTCAAAAGACTAAAATTCTTACAAAGAATATGACTGCTAAAGATAAAAAACAACTTACGCAATTATCAGGTTTTGAAGTGGTTAGTAAAGTTAAGTATTTGGGAATTTTCTTATCCTCCTCTAACATGAAACTTTATCAGAATAACTATGAGAAATTGTGGAAATCAGTACAAAAAGACTTATCAATGTGGAAAAAACTTCATTTCTCCTTGCTGGGTCGTATTGCAGCCATTAAAATGAACATTTTACCTAAGTTTCTTTTTTTATTCCAGATGATACCTATTTTAAAAAATGAACTTAACCTGAAAGAATGGCAGAGAGACTTGAATCGCTTTATTTGGGAAGGCAAGAAGGCACGGGTTAAATTTAAGATTATCCAAGATGTTAGAGAACGTGGAGGACTTAAAGCTCCAAATCTGATACTTTACTACGATTCTTGTGCATTGACCTGGATGACGGATTGGATTAATTTAATCTAACAAGAGGATTTTGAACTTGGAAGGATGGGACTTGTACTTTGGGTGGCATGCTTATCTTTTTATGCAAAAAAAGGTTGACAAAACGTTTAGAAATCATATAATAAGGGCTGCATTGTTAAGAGTTTGGCAAAAATATTTTTTTAAGTTTGATGTTAAACTTCCAATTTGGGTGATACCGTCACATATTTTTTTGACTATACCAAGATTTGTGGTTATGGAGGCGCCATCTTATAAAGACTTGTTATATTTGAGTGGTAGTGGTGAATGGTGCCTTAAATCAATAGAAGTTTTGAGACGGAAGTATCCAGACTTTTCTTGGCTTGTGTATAGACAAATTCAAGAGAGATGGCGAATTGATAAAAAAACTGCTTTTTTTATGGAAAATGGGAATTTTTTGAAACAAGTAAGGGATGATGCTAAAGGACATATTAGAAGGATATA